CATTTAGGGAGGTAAAAATCTATAGCTGTAATATTAGTTAGGCCCAAGAGAAGACGTGCATTTAGGGAGGCATTTCATAGAACGTGCACTTAGGGGATTGCATCTGACTGAAATGGAATTTTTTAAACTTCATTTATTTTTTCGAAATAATTTCCGAATAAAGTAAAATATCCCGAAAAAGGAAAAAAGTAAATACGTTTTTCAAGTATAACTATCTGGTACTTTTAGCGTTAGTGATACAAATAATTAATTTGAAAAATCCGTTAAATAAATTATTATTATTATTATTTGCGCATAAGAAAAAAAAGGGTTTTCCTTTATACATTCTACAAATTCCTGAATTCTTGCTCTTTAAGGATAATCTGTGTTCATTTACTATCGGAATATGGATCATGTTTCTTCTAACAACGTTATAATGAAATAAAGAATTAATGTATTTAATTATTGTTATTATTTTGGTCTTTATAAATCTGTTTATCATCAAAAATGACAAATTATTAAAGTGCTTCTCCAATAATCTGAATTTTACAGAATCAGTGTGAGGGACGAATATAAGAAGCGTCTACACGTATTACGTAATACCAACTTAGTCATGCACACTGTAATCTGTGACAGGTTACGCCACTAATGTAAATTCCTATCCAACTGTACGTATCTCTGATCTAAATAAACATGTACGTAGTAATTTTAGCAATTTGAAAAACTTAGTTTAAATTTAAAATTATATAATTATTATTACGATAGTGAGTTAAATCGTGTAAATATTCAGATCTCTACGAGTTAAGGTGAATATATAAAGAATGATATAATCATATCTATTTATTTCTCTTTTCTTTACCATCTTATGTATCGAAGGAGTATTTATTTAAGTTATAGCATTTATGTGATGTTCGCTATTTTATTTTTAAGGATTACGATAAATGCCTTAATTTTTTATATAATTATGTTTTTATTAATTAAATATCGAAAATACAAGCTAAAATTTTAATTCATATCGATTTAGTACCATAAAAATTTCAATTAACTCTAAATTAGGTGTTAATATGAGATTAATGCATTGTATATAAAAATTGCACGAACATATTTATTAGAACGTTGAAAGCAGTTTTTGGGCAAAAACGTAATTTCTACGTAGAATTTTTTTTTTGTAGTTATAACGAGAAAAGACTCTGGAGTATAATCGGACAGTTGATATTAGTAGCGTAACCTGTCACAGGTTATGAACGTGCCTCGAATTTCGGTAATTAGGGTATCGATAAAAACAATCAAAATATGTACATACGAAATTCTTCACATCAAAAATTATTACTAACACTATTTAATAAAATTCAAAATTTTTGGAAAAAATTCTACAATTGTTAAAAAATGATAAATTCGTAGTTCTGGTGTTTGGTTTTCCCAAAAGTAAATGCCTTTAATTTACCGTAATGTCGAACATATAGTTGTTAGACGAAGCCTTTTTTGTTTGATGACAAAAGTCGAAACTTAAGCTCTAAATGACGAAACCTCAAATTCTTCTGACGAAAGTCGAAACCCTCAACCCCAAACTTAAACTGACAAAACCCTATTGTATGATTTTTATCCCGAAGGTTACTATTTTTGTTACACTAATGTACAAGATAAAAAGCGAACCTAAAACGCAACCATTACATGTGTGTGAACACCAAGTTATAAAATTACGTTTTTTGATTATATAAATATTGATATACAAAAAAACGTACTATTGTATCACCTTGACTAAACAATAATGTGCTCCGGACAATAAGTATATATTTTTGGTATCACAATTGTAATGCTAATTACATAATAGTATTATGCAACGCAGAAAACGCGTGAAGTTTATACGTAGCATGATAAAGACGACTTTGAGGGTATTTGAAAGTTAAAGAGAATATTTACAACATGATGTATTAATTGAAACTTGCTCATTCGAAAATTGGTACAGAAAAACGACATTTGTATAAATATTGAATGCGACCTTTTCTGCTGATTTTTATTCATAAGAATATTATTTTTTTTTTTATTTCCATATCGACGCATTTAATCACCTTATTCTTTATACCTGTTTGTTTATTATCCTGAGTAAATCTCAGCATCCGCGTAGCCGATTGCTCATCTGAATCTGATTGATAATAATTCCAGTTTGTATTCTTAACGTATTCGAATTTAATTAGTTTAATTATAATGTATTTCTTCAAATGTGTATCCCAGTGTGCTTTATTATTTATTATGAAACAATTTTTAAAGTCCAAATTATATTTATATCTGGGTAACTAAGTAAGATGTTAGTATACTAAGTTTCACGGGCATATAGTAATAAACCATTTTAAAAAACATGAAAAATTTAATTTTAAATAAGAACACTGCATAAATTAAAAAAGTAACCAATGTATAATTGATTTTTGCTTGCCTGACTTTTATACATTTATTATATTTTTAAAGTAATTGTCTTATCACGAATTTGTACATAGATTGTATTAATAAATACTTTCTCCAAAGGTTATTATTATTATTATTTGCTCTCAAGTTATTTTTATATTTTGATAAATTATAGTAAAGACAAACTAATGTATTTAACAACAATTTAGAGGCTGTTTAACAACAATTTAGAGGCTGCCATGAGTAACACTACTGTTGCCAATGTTGATAACACAGAACCTTCAATTGTTGAAAAATACTGGGCTCATTCTGGAATTATTACTTGAGTTACTATTACTTGAGTTACTGTTTCCTCAAGTTTACTTCAGATATTAATTGTTACTTTTAATGCTTTCAAAACTTGCTGTAATAAGAATACCGGAAAATGCTGTGGTTAATGTCACTCACTGGCTATGGCCCACTAATGTGTGGTGAAGAAATATGTCAAGATCAATTAGGTATAACTATACCATTTTGGGCAGGGCTAATATTTTCTAAAGCTCTTATTGAAGATTATGGATTCGAAACTAATGAACGTATAAGTGTTGTCGTTAACAAATTTTCTTCTTTCGTTGAACTTTCAACAAGATTTTGGTATTTTATTGGCCTTTTGTAAAATGTCAAACTGTAAGATTCAATCATTGGTTTGCATATGTTATGCTCAATATTATTTGTGTTGATACCGATTTTAAATCGATGTTGTCCAAAACTAAGGGCATACTCAATTATAAACTCATTATTTCTCAGTGTAATTCTTACATATTTTGTTGCCACTCATGGAGTAGTATCAGGAATAACAGCGTTGTTAACGCCATTAGTAAAAGTTTTTGAATTTTTCAAAAATCTTGTCAAAAATAAGTTGAAAACTAAACATTTCTACCATTACAAAAGATATTAATTATGGTGGAAAAATTTTTGGTAGCCTGTAATTTTGACCAACCAAAATTTAATATCAGGTGTAATGTGATAGACAAACAACCGTATTTGATTCTAAATAAAAAAAAAATTATGGTATAATTAGGGATTACGTAGAATTAGAACAATGGGAATTTTTATTTAGTACGTAAAATTTCAAAAGAAACCTTTTTAATTAGGTCGCAGAAGTTAGTTTCTTAATTATGTACAGTCGGTTTAGTATTAGTCAAATATTAACGGTTTTCAATTCATGTAAATCCATTGAATTTGAAACAGGTTTCGACTTTTAATTTTAGTAACACGAAAAACAAATTTTTTTTTAACAAAAGAAATTCTTTAGGATATCATTTACTTTATTTAAAATGCTTGTTGCCTTATATTAATTATTCGCATATATAAAATATAGAGAATATGTACATTTGATTGACAATTTAAACATGGTATCATATACGTAACAATTAAATAATTGCACTACGTTAGACCATTCTTTTAAAGACAAAAGATGATTATTAGAATGTAAATGGTCTTTTATTTATTAACAAACAAATATAAATTTTATCCATTTCTTAACAACAATTATAATTTAAGCAGTTTTATAAATGAAAAAATATACTGTAAATTGTACATTGTTACATTTTATAATGAAGTATTACTTTCTTGCAATTATTGTATAAAAATTCTTACATATGCAATATATATATAAAAAACAACTATAGAAATTTAATACGTATTATGTCTGAAACTAAATATTTAATAATATGAGATTAACAATAATTTATATTTTAGCAAATTAACAGAATTTATACAGAATATCGGAATAAAATTGCCGTAAATGTGCGTATAATATATTACACCAACCTTAAACCTTTTTATACGTATCATGAAAAAAAAATCAAAGTTCATACACATTTCGTAATTATAATAACCAGTCTAACCGTTTGAAAAAAAACCCGCATTTAATTTGCGATTAGGTGGTCTGGGGTCTTGCATACGTACTGTACGTACGTACTTTTACGGTACATGATGATAATATCGGATATGCAATATATAATTACTTTCTATAGTGACAGGTATATGCAGAGCATATGTAAAACAAAAGCTTCGATCTTATAAAATTATTTAACGTTAATTGCTTGCTTGCTTTGAAAAATAGCATACGCGAAAACTATGTTTTAATGGTTTAAATTTTTTTTTTAAAAAAAAAAGTACAAGATTTTAATTCGCACCATAAACTATAACAGATAAGTTGCTGGCTGAATTACATATATATTTTAATTGGTATTATCACATGTAGTCAATAGCTTACATAATCTTTAAAACCAATAAAAAAATTGCCATGCTTTCTTAATTGTTTATTACGATATTTAGATAATGCATATATACATAAATTTTTATGTAAATACATATATGATATTTCCGATTTGTTACAAGAATTACAAGAATTACAAGAATTGAACGTACATACATACATACATATGTATACGTACGTGGCTATCGCTACGTATAGTTAAGATACATATCGATATGAAAATATGTCTTAAACCGTTTTATATAACAATATGATACATATTTTTAATGACAAATTTACTAATACGTATAGTTTAGAATTCTAATTAACATTAAAATGCGTGGCCAGTTTCATAGCTGATAGCGATAGTAAAACAAAGGATAAACGTGAGAAATAAATTTTCGAAACATAGTTCCCTTTTAAAAAAATTATTAAAATATAAACAAGTTTCGTTGATAATGCAATGCATAAATTGTCATTGTTTTAAAAAACGTTATCATTATCGGGGTTAAGTTTGTTTGTTTCAATATTTGATCTTAGTCCTTTGATATTCAAACTTTCCATTATTATCACCATAATGTTGCAACAAAGACTATATAAATAACTGCGGGTGGAGAGTTTGGTTACAGTTTCAGTGTTATTTTGCTCATACCATAATAAGATTTCAAGTACTTAAAAATTTTTTATATTCCAAAATCATCAATATTACTCTATTTTTATCATTGATATTCAAGCAGTATTCAACCTAGTCACACTAAAATGACATAAAATGACAGTACAGGTGCTTTCAAGGTTACTATATTTATTCCGTTATTTTCTTCGATTTTTGCGATCGCTGTCCTCATGCCAAAATTAGTATCACCTAAAAAAAAAGTCACATAAATATTTACATCCTGACTTCCACAAAAAAAAAATAGAGTTTTAAACCTTTGATCTTTAGTTTATCATCCGATTCACCCCTTATACCTCAGTTCTCGCAAATAAATGTCCTTTTGTTAATGGTCTCTCTATTCTCAAATATTCCTGTAACCAAAAAATAAAAAATTTTAAAAAAAAAAATAAAAAATAAAAAAATAATTTATCTCTTTTTCTGGCCGTGCCAGTCCAACGTTGAAAGAATAAGCTATTTTTTTTTTTCATCAAGCAATTAAAGTTTTCGGTAATCTTGAAACGAAGAGGGGTTAAGGTTAAAAAAAAAACGAACCTTATTAACTAGCTGTAGATCGGCATCTATTCCCAATATTCAAAATTTTGTATTTGAATTTTACTCGATAACGATATAATTCTATATATATATACAGTATATTATCATTACATTCTTACGGCATACTTAATAACAATTTAACATAGTTTATCGACAAAAATGTATGTAAAATCATATCATACACCTCTTTCCGATGGTGGTCATAAATGGGATATTACTTTATTCTGCAGCAATGAAGCAAACACGATAGCTCATGTTGATATTAATCCGAAATCTCGGGGTTCAAAAGTTGTTCCTAACAATGCTAAACCTGCCCCAACTGCTTATACTATGACGTACATGTCTTCTTCAAAGTTCGAGGAACTTCCATTGAAGTTTGTCACTGTTATAACATTTAAAAGCAAAAATAATAAAACAAGAAAAAAGATTATAAGAGTACCTGCTAATATAGCCACAGACAGAAAAAGAAGAAAAGAGGAGGGGTCAGAAGAAGAATATGAAGAAGATGATGAAGAAGATGATGAAGAAGAAGAACATGCTGAGGTGAATGAAACGATAAATGAGAAGATATTACCTCCTCCTCCTCCAAAGAAAAAGAAGAGAGTTTTGTGTAGCGTGTTTAGGTCTAAGAAAAATAATTCCTTCTCGGAAAAAGATGACGCCTCACAAAATTGTTGTTGTACGATCATGTAAAAAACTAATTATTGTATGTGTTTATATTAAATGATATTTTTGTCTCAAAAAAATTAATTTAATTTCTTACAAATCTTTAATTATACTAATTATTTAGTTGGTTATTAGGAATATGGACATTTCTTATCATTTCACCATTTAAACTAAAGATTCTTTTTAAAAATTAATGCCTTTTTTAAAAAAATTATATATTATCGTTCCTTTATTTGTTTATAATAGATATATACCTCATTTATTTCTTCTAATATTCATATTGTCACTTATTCATTATTATCCGTATTGTACATCTATATATAATATAAATTTTTAGTCTATTAATACGATAAGTATTAATATCTATTAAAAATCCTTACCCCCATTACCTTTTTTCATATTACTAAAAAGGTATCCTTAACTTTTCTTGATTAAAAAAATGTAAATCTGGCCTTTCAGTTTATGTCCTCTACAATAAATTATTCCATGTATCTTTGCCAAGATACATGCAAAAAGGTCAATATTCAACGTGGTTCTTTGTTATGTAATTCTTATTTTTCTTTTGTCATTTTTTACGCATATAGATTATATGCTAGATGGTCATATAACTTCTTTCTCTATTTTCGAAATTTTAGTGTACTCACACGTGAATGCAAAATTCTAATATCTAAAATTATCGTTAATCGCTCTTAATATTACTGTATATATTAAGAAATATAAACTTGAGAATACTGACTTTAGGACCAAAAATTACGAAATTAGAACTCTTAGCACAAAAAAAATGCAAATAAAAGTTATAAAATCGGAATAAAAGAAAAGTTACTTTAAGCATAATTATTTATAAATTACTTACCATATTATCGCGTTATTTTGAGTATATGCGCGTTACGCGCATGGGCATTATTCTGCGACAAAGATAAAATTTCTCCTAAACATGCCTATTATATCCAATTACTTGTTGAAGCTCTAATCTAGGTGTGCGTCATTTTGGGACGCATGGGCGTTATTTTGAAATGCCATTTTTAGGGACATGATTTTCTAAATAACACTCATGCCTATTATTTCGCGATAAACGGTAAAATTTTATTAAGCTCACTTTTTTTCTTTTTAAACTAAATAAAAATTGGTATATAATTAGTTAATATATGGGGGTGTCAGTAGAAACCAGGAAAATTGTTCAAGTAAATTTTTTTTAGACTTTAAATTAAAATATCTCAACAAATATTAAACCAAACTTGTTAAAAATTTTTTTATTTTAATTCTATTTAGTTATAAAATTGAAATAAAAAAAAATTTATCAAGTTCGGTTTAATAGTTGTTAAGATATTTTAATTTAAAGTTTTAATAAAACTTACTAAAAACAATTTGCCTGGTTTCTATTGACACCCCATATATTATTTAAAATTTTCACGAATACTAAAGCGAGCTAGTAGTATTCAACACCATATGACATTTTACCTCTGATCTTTATTTATAAACTAATTTAAGTTATGCGACTATTAGTTTTAGAAAGTATTAAACAAACAACTTTACTTTCTTTCGGTAAAATGATATCCCGGGCTAAGAAAAAAAATCTTTACTATAGCTCATATCAAGGGAATACTATATATACTTCACTATATCGAGTTAATATTTAATAATTTTGGAATATAAAAATATAAGAGAGTTCACTATAATGAGAGTAAGTTGTATTTACTTTAACATAATTAAATATAGATTGCATCGCACTTTTAAATTTTAATCACCAGTTTAAATTTAATTTTTAAATACTGTGCTCAACTAAAAAAACAATACTATCCTCAACTGCTTTGTTTATAATTATCATCAATTAAAAAAAACACTGTTTTAAATACTGCGTTCAACTAATTGTTGATTAAAAATACTTAACTTATATAAAATTTAAGAGTGCATCAGTAGTTTAAATTGAAATAAATAAAAAATCGACAAAAAAAATCTACACATAAGTTCATCTTTAATCCAGTGCATTATTGCTCAATATAATTCTTTTTGGCTTTTTGGATCCATACAAAAAATAATGGAAATTTTTTCTTAAAAACTAATATATTTATTTTAGGTTTTGATATCATTTTACATACTACTGTTACCTGGGAAAACTAGGACTAAAGTAATAAGCTAAAGCTAACTAAAATCAACTAAAAACTAACACACAACAACAATCAAGACAACGTATCGAAAGAGGCATTTAGAATTGGGAGGTGGAATGGTTCTAAGGCTTCAGTCGTCCTTCAAACAATATCATGTGATAGTCAATGTTGAAACAATAACTAATCTTCTGGAACCAACTCGCAAGAAAATCAAGTATCCTCAACCCTTAGGGATACAACACAATAATTCCAACGGCACTAGAGTAAGTTAGTCCAACGATGGTATGAAATTACCTATCAGAGGTAAAATCAGGCAGCATATATGGCAAAGCAGCATAATTATGTAAAGAAAATGAATAAAACCCTTTAATTAAATATAACGCAGAAATTAATTATATCGCTGAAATCTTTTTAAACTACCTAATACCCAAAATCGCTTATCTCTCATTGATGCATTATCTTTAAGAAATACAGCAAATACAATAAACACTATAAGTACTAGAAGGGTAATAAATGCAATAAGTGCCGGGAAAACTGAAGATGGAAATCGATTATCACAACTGCAGCTTATGCACGTGAGGTTAGCCGAAGTCAATAAAAAGTAAACTTCCAATAATCGAATTTTCTCAGATTACAATTCTTCCCTACTTAGTTGCGAGTACCATGAGCTCCTATTAATAATTTGCTTAGCCTGGGCAACCGTCATTTCTCGAAAGTTTTGCAATCTTACAAGATTAGTGTAGTAAATTTGCTCAACGCCTATTTTGAAGAAAACATCATATACTTTCAGAGCAGCAAAACGATAATGGGCCATAACATGGGGTCTTGATATCCTTCGTTGGTCATTTGGTGAGGTCGCAAAAATCATCCCCAAATAGTAAGCGTGGATCAAGCTTTTGATTCGATTCCGGTATCGAATAGCCTCAGTGATCGAGTTATATAATTGTTGAACACACATCACCAAATCGGGTGAGACAGAAAAGGGCTGCGTAACAATTACTTCAATTGGTTCATAAGAAGTAATATCAGCAATTATCTCTACTACTGTAATAGTAAGCATTTTCTTAACAATATGAAGAGGGAGATCCTTTAATTCCTAAGCTAATTACCCTCTTTATATAATAGTAAAATTTCTTTCTTTTTTTTTTTTTTTATCTTGTTTTTTTTTTTTTTTTTTCATGCCTATACCCAAAACACCACGCATTTTTTTCATCTCTACTATATCCCACACTCTAATTTAATGTACTTTCTCTTATATTAATTCCCTGACGATTATAGTATCGTTTCAGTAATTTAATACTGATAGGGGTCAAAATGACTTGCCCTGCCAGAGTACATAATTTCACTACATTCCAATCAAAAACCTGATGGATGTAGAAGAGTTCTTCACATTTTGGCTCCAATTTCACACTTCAACTGTATTGTTAAGCGGCATGATACAATAGAACCTTATCTCCTATACTAAATTCAGTAATTTTCTGAATTTTTCTATCATAAAGCTGTTTTTGTTTATACTGAGCTTTTTGGACTTGTACAATGGCAGCTTGGCGAATTGATGGCAGGTTTTCTATCAGCCCTTGGATTCGTTGAAGAATATTTTCCCCATTTAAATCCCCAATTTCTTTTGATTGAATGAGTTGTCTAGCCTCATGTCTATAAGTTAAATATAATAGCATAATTCTTGTGGTGGAATGCCTGGAAGTATAATAGGCAAATAGTATGAAAGGAATAATTAGATCCCAATCCATAATACTTTCAATGGTCTTAGCAATTGATTTACACAGGATTCGGTTGAATCGCTCCACCAGCCCATTAGTCTGGGGGTGATATAGCATTAATAGAATATGCTTAGTTTGGAACTTTTCTAGTAATTTCTAAACTAACTTATTACAGAAATGAGTTCCTCGATCTGATAATATAATCTCAGGACACTCGTGACAACAAATTATTTTGTTATACAAGAAGTTGGCTACTTCGTGAGCAGTTGCTAAACTTGCGACTCTGGCCTCTGGCTATTTGGTCATATAATCTGTAGCCACTATTATATACCGATTAGCTCTTGGTGTTATTGGTAATGGCCCTATGATATCTATACCAACCCGATGAAAAGAGGCTACTACTGGTATAGGATATAAAGGAGGAATCACTCAAGGTTTTTCCTGTCGCTGACACTGATCACAAGATCTAATGTACTCTCTAATTCATTCATAAGATTGAGGCCAATAATATAGTTGTCTTATCTTCTTAAACATGGTCTCTATCCCCAAATGGCCTTTCAGGGAATGGTCATGGACCAAAAATAAGGCTGGCTCCACCTCATGGGCCTGGATTACTCTTAGCGGCTTATCAGAGTTTTTGCTGTTGTTTCTAAATACTATCTCATCTTTTAAAAAGAACAACCGACCGTTGTTTATTAGTCTTTTTCTTTCTTTCTTTGACAATTTTGAATCTATAAACCGATCGTGTAAATATCGTCTTAGCTAGTTATATTTTCCAGGATCCATATTACTTTACTCTATGCTAGGACACCGACTACCTGGGCTGAATTTTCGTTTATCGTCAGATTTACAGCGTTGGATTACTTAACAAAGAGGATTCTTTCTATAGTTTGTTTTGTACTATAAGAGTTATATTTCACTTTGAATAATGTTCAGGTTCTTTAACGTTCTTAAGAGATTTGGTTATGCTATGACACTATTCCCTAATAGTGTGGACATATCCTTAATTATTGCTATCCCTAACTCTTCGAACTCATTAACTTGTCTCGGTGGTCGCCGTATCATTAAAAAACCAATTCTTAGGGTCATTCTCTACATATCTTCTCGGAAGATTTTTAATAGCAGATAAATGCTTTTTAACATTAGCATTTATCTACACACAAGTCAAAATTTAAATTTCCATAAATTTGTTCCAGTATGCGCTATTTTAAATTATTATCCCACTTTAATCAGCAATTGATCCTTTATGAATCAAATTTTCATTGATTTTCCTTCAAATGAATAGGGCCCCAACTCGCCCTACTCCATCCTAACTATCCATTTCTACTGTTAGGTCTGTACTATGACATCTTTAAGTTACAAAAAAAAAACTAAACCATGATTATAGGGAGGCCCCAAGATAAGAACTTTTAAGTATGTAGGTTTTTTTTTTTTGTTTTTTTTTTTTGCAAAATTATATACTAATTTAAAAGTGTCTATTCATTAATTTAATTCTACTTCCACAAGTACTATCAAATTACCATTATCATTCACAAGCCTATGATCACACCCTGGGTCAATTCTGACTTGTTGGATGAATTGTTGTCTAGCTTTATTTTGCCAGGCCACATCCTGCATTTGTCCATTCAGCTTAACAAATCAGCAGAGTCATTAGCAATTAAAGGGTAACCATAAAAGTCAGCCCAATAGATTGCTTCTCTTAAATTAAGCTCTTGGATAGCGAAATGATCATTAAAAGTGAGGTGGTCATAAAGAAAGAATTCGGTACCATAATGGAGGGCTTGTCTGCAAAAAACTAGTTTTTGCTGCCTTCTTGAAGTCATCTTATTAAAGAGAATTACCGGGATATACTCAGGCCCATTTATATTTGCCACTAGTTTATCTTTTTCAATACCAATTCCTTTGTCTACCTGATTGATATTATCAGATTCAGGGGTTTTCATTTCTTCGTCCTCGGAACATTGGATAAACTCATCTATTAATTTTTCTTCCTGTTTTATCTGGTTTACAGGATCTGGTTTTATTTCTTCAATCTCTATTTTATAGTCGTTGGGAATCATTGAAGTATAATTCAATAATACTTCTTTTCCCTTTTGTTGTTCATATTCCATCAAGCCTTTCTGGACCCTAAATAAAAGTTATAGGGTCGTTCAAAAGTATCTGACTTGTCACTTGATTCATTATTAGCGACATCTTCTTCTTCTGTGTCCTCCGTAACTTCTTTAGGTGTTGGTAGTCTTGTAGGCGCCATTTCTCAATCCATTTTGGATATAGATGTCAAAAACCTTTCTTCCTCTTTAATGGGATTAAAATTATCCACCATATATACTTTATTCAAAGGAGATAACCCCTGGTTGTTTTCCTCTTCACTTTCCCTCCTATCGCTCCAAGAGTTTCTATGATTATACTAATTCAAATTTCGCCCTGACTCTTTATTATAATCATTTATTAATTTCTCATACTTCCGCTCCCTTCTCATATAGTTAATCACCTCTTCTTCGTCAAGCCACATATTATTATAATTTTTACTAGTTTCAACCTCCATTTCTGATAAACCATCACTATCTGAATCTCCCTCCATAGACCATTCTTCTTTAGTTAATTCCTCTTCAGAGCTAGCATCATAATCAATCTCTAGCCTGAAAATCTTAACCGGGTTATCATCTAATGATCCCGGGAGATGAGATAAAGCATCCACGTTAGAGTGAGCCTTTCCACTCCTATGTTCAATTTTAAAATTATCTCTTAAATTGTTTTGCAGCCAAATTTGCCTGCAAACTTTTTTAAATTTTAAAATTTTTTAATAAAATTT